CATGTCCACCTGTAAACCAGTCCACCTGTCAATATGTCCACCTGTAAACATGTCCACCTGTCAATATGTCCACCTGTCAACATGTCCACCTGTAAACATGTCCACCTGTAAACCAGTCCACAGGTCCCCTGTCCAGATGAAAATTGGTCCACTTGTCCACATGTGAAGCTGTCCACGTCTCCAGTTTGACTCGAGTGCTGGAAGCTGAAACTCTTCCTCTCTGAGCAGCAGGTGATTCAGATGACATCATCCTGCAAGGCGAGGGTCCCCCGTGGTCCTGCTCCCATGATGCAACTGTGCRGTGTCTCTGAGGACGAGGCTGATTCCTGCAGGTACAAATTGAAGCTTTTTTCCTTTGGTTTTATTCAGATTCCTCTGCGCCGAGGACTTCACCTACTCTGTCAATCTGTGCTTTCATGTTTTCACATCCRTCTCCTCCTCGTCCTCCTCTGGTTGCCATGGCAGCAGAGCATGACTCAGCGCTCTGCAGCAGCAGGGAGGACAGATGGACGTCCTGCTCCACACACGCTTGTGAAAGAGTCCAGAAATGTGGGTCAGACTGAGAATGACAAGAGGAAAACCATCAGGAACAGGAAGTCACTATAAAAGCATCAGCTTTAGAGGAAGTAGCTGCTTTTATTTTGAAGGSTTAAACTTGGCTGTGGTTGAGTCTGAGGGCTGATGTATTTATCAGTTTGACTGAAACGTCTGAAATGTGTCACCTAATATACTTGTTTGATTTTATCATCAAAGATTTTTAGTTTTCTTACATCAACCTTCCAGGAACTCTTCTGTTTTCTAAATAAAAGTTTTTATTGTGAGTTTATTTTATTGTCTTTTCTTTGCAGAGTAAAACAGGAAACTGTATTTAGGGAAAAGAACTGGATGACCTCTGAAACATCTGAACATTTCTGCGTCACTCTGAAGTCTTGAAGGTCGAACTTTTCTTTGTTTAGTCCAACACGTCATGTTGCACTCGTGTAATCTTTGCTTCCAACATCAAACCTGCTGGAAGCTTTCAGCTGCAGAACCAGCAGAAACATCTGAGTGTTTACCAGCTCCACGCTTTAATCTGAGCTGATAGTTCAGGTTTCAGTCCGTCTGACTCAGAGATAAAACTCCAGGAGGAAAAATAAACCATCAGAACACTGCAATAAAGTCAATTAAATCAAACACAACAAACCTTCATGTTGTTCATTTACAACTGGAACAAAAGATTTAACCTAAAAACCCAAATGTAACTGTTTCATTGCTCTCCTGCACTTCATCCTAACAGCTGGTAAAAGTTGCCGAGGCTTTAGACCAGGTTGAAGAACAGAAATCCACTCAGAGTTTCTGAAGCTGAAGAGGATTTTTCTATCAGCTGCAGTTTGACGGCTCAGATTAAAGAGAGAGCCGGCTTAAAAACAACAGATTATTCCTTTAATCTGATTACATCATTACCAGCAGCTCCGCTGCGCTCCGAGCAACTGCTCTGCATGTAGTGACAACCTACAACCTTCTGACGTGTCGACGTGATGAAACCAGAGCTCGCAACTGGCAGGGGAAACAAGAGGTCACAACAGAAACAAGAGGTCACAACAAAAACAAGAGGTCACAACAAAAACAATAGGTCACAAAACAAGAGGTCATAACATAAACAAGAGGTCACAACATAAACAAAAGGTGACAACAAAAACAAGAGGTCACAACAAAAACAAGAGGTCACAACAGAAACAAGAGGTCACAACAAAAACAAGAGGTCACAACAGAAACAAGAGGTCACAACAGAAACAAGAGGTCACAACAAAAACAAGAGGTCACAACAGAAACAAGAGGTCACAACAGAAACAAGAGGTCACAACAGAAACAAGAGGTCACAACAGAAACAAGAGGTCACAACAGAAACAAGAGGTCACAACAGAAACAAGAGGTCATAACATAAACAAGAGGTCACAACATAAACAAGAGGTCACAACAAAAACAAGAGGTCAACATAAACAAGAGGTCACAACAAAACAAGAGGTCACAACAAAACAAGAGGTCACAACAAAAACAAGAGGTCATAACATAAACAAGAGGTCACAACATAAACAAGAGGTCACAACAAAAACAAGAGGTCATAACATAAACAAGAGGTCACAACATAAA